TAAACATTCTACTTGAATATTATATTTACATTTAATATTTATTATTCAATTACAAACTTTTTACGTACCTACAGTATTTTTATTTGTTATGTTTACTTATGTATTTTAAAATTTGTTCTTTAAATAATATATATATTTAATGTAAGTAATTTAATTTATAAAACTCAGTTTTTTCAAAATGGCTATGAAATTTATTTAGTTTGTTGATTGTGCAAACCTATAAAACATTTTTTTGACGACTACTTATTTATTTCAAAGCATTTTTACTATTTTTATATAGAAAAAATAGGCTATACTATTAAAAAATTCACATCGATAATACACACATTAAAATATAGTATACCTCTTTATTTTTTTCATTCATTTTAATTACATTACTGTCTATTATAGCGATTATAAAAAATAATCTTACCTGTGTTTTATCGGAAGTTTTATTTTTTTTTTAAATGTTTTGGCTCTTCGTGAAATTATTACCTTCCTAGTGTTTAACTTTTTATTTATTTTTAATTAATAACTTAACACAATATTTGCGTACCAAATTTTCAATGTACGATAAAAAAAAACAGTTGGTAATTTTTCAAACGTTTAACTTATCATGTTTGATTGAATGCACTTAATTTTAGTATTGCTGATCCCGTAGAAGATAAATTAAATGTATTGTCTCTTTCTGTTATATAAGGTAAAAAGTTTTACAAAACCCTTTGAACTCATGAGAAGTATTGTATAACCCAAAAGTAAGTGTGGTTTTTAGAACTATTAATCTCTCTTTTGAACTACCAATCCCATTGAAAATTTGAACAAGGTCCAGCACTATTTCATTTAATCTCTTACTTCTCTTTTCTTTGAGTGATGAATATGTTTCTAATACTCTTGAATAAAATTTTCTTATATTAATAAAATAATTAATACTATTAAACTATATATGAAATATTTTTGTAGTGTTGTATATATTCAAATTCTACACTTTTTGACATTAATAACAATATTAAATATAATTAAATATACATACCATTTTAGTGTTATGAATTGAACCATAATAAAGTAATCTTATACTATTGTAGTACATAATATAAAAGAAATTCTTAATTTTTCTATAAAATGTATCTTACAAAATAAATTTCACATAATATATTTTGACTTGGTTTTGCATTTAACTCTTTGTGTAGACAATTTTGCGTCGTTCAAATTTAGATTGATTCGACCTAGAAAGTTTTCAATAATTTAGAGTGTTTGCAGTTTTGTTAGGGTCGTATTTGATAGTTTTCAGACTCCAATTTAATGCACCATACGACCGAATTGGTGTTGACAGTAGATTTTTCGTAAAATTTAGGGTTGAAAAGATTTTATTCAAATTCGATTCTTTCAGGTTTTTGAATAAAATATCTTTAAATAAATTAGTCTGTAGACTCGAAACATCCATAATCAAAATAAATTTTTAACTAACAAAAATTAATTCTTAAATATTTTAACTTATATCAAATATTAATAAAGTAAATTATGTCATGGAAAAAATTGTTGACTTATTTCAATAAATTATCTAAACGTGTTATAAAAATCTTAATATACAAAATGATTCTTGGAAATATCTAAAATATAGTATTTACGTTCATATATTTTATTCAGTTTTTACTTAAAGTTATTGGGTTAGCTATAAGAAAAACAATATTGCATTTGGAGGTAAATTAGTATTTATAGTTGGTACTTATTTTTCTGATCTTCAGCACATTAATCTACTCAGCTAATACAAAATATCCTGTCCTGAATTATCTTATTGAAAGAAAAACTGTGAGTTATTGTTTGTTTTACCATGGTAAATTAGTTGTTTGTTGTTTTAGTTAATAATCATAAAATACAATTTTATAAAACTCAAAAGTTTATTGAACTAGTGTTATAAATGGTTAGAAGAACTATGTTATAATATGTATAAATCATAAAAAATGAAATGTTTTACATTTCTTAGAATGGCATTTTTGATATTTTATGGATAAACAATATTAGAAACAATTTTAATTTTTACCAAAAACTAGGGTTAGACATGTGAATTATATTTTTAAAATAATTGATAAATATATTAACGAATATTGACGTTTTTATTTAAAATTTTTCCTTTTATAGTTTTTCACATATAACAAAAAGATAATATAATACGATTCTCTTATATTTGTGATAAATTTATGCTCATCAATCGTTGTAAATTCTATTTAGTTTATAATTATATAAGTGCAACTATTTTTAATTATGTCAAAAGAATTATTATTTTTTTTAAATCCAAGTACTTCTCAATAGCATGATATGAGAAATTATTTTCAAAATTATCAGACGGTTTTTATTTTACCTAACTAAATGTTGAATAAAATGAAAAGACACGCTTGATAAATTTTTATAAATATTTATAAATCAAATGAATCTGTTTCAGTGAATATTTTAAAACTTTAATTTTATAATAATTAACTTAATTCATCAATATTTAATGATAATTCATCTGAAAAAAGATGATTATAGGCATTTAATTAATTTTATTTAGATATCAATATATTATATTATGTTACTGACCGAACTATTTGTGTTTAATTTATTTGTTTTATTATCTGTATTTTTTTAATTCAAACTGTATAATTATGTATATACAAAAACTAAAATTTGTTCAGCACTTACAATTGTTTTGTATTGAATATGTTAATACTGTTAATTATTATGATTTATATCATATCTTCCCTTTCCTTGAAATCTTCCTATTTTCATCCCACGTACATTCACAAGAAACCACTGATGTTAATATAACAGTAATAAATCCTTAGTTTACAACGAAGGAAAAACTTTTCTTGTATTTCCAGTATACCTACCCTGAAATAAGTTGTAAATTTTTATGTCTCCTAAATATTAATAACACGTTTTTGGTCGTCTAAAGAACAATTTTGAGCTTATTAACATTTGGCGTTGCTTAATACTTACGAGTACACTTCTACATTTTATATTATAGCGATAAAATTATTTTCAATTCAGGAAATTTATTTGTGATTTAATACTCAAGATTAGTTTTTAATTTTGATTTTATGAATCGAGATATTTCATGCACTTTATTTTAAATGAGACAATACGTTATAATAATGTGAAAATATTAAATTTTATTTTAACAGATACTGTTATAGGTTATTGAAATCGTTTTCTTTAATCATCGCATGTTACTGTACTCATGCGATTCATTCCAATTAAAAATTTAAGGTTTTCAAACTTTCTAGATGTGATATGTAATTTTGTATAATACTACTTAAATGCTTGAATATGTAATGATTATAATAACCCAAGCGAAGTGTCATGTTTTATAATTTAGTGTGTAGTGTTTTTATTTGTCTTAAGCCTTTGCTAAGTTTTTTAACCAAATATGTATGTTATAATGACGGAGTTAATTATTTGTAAAGAATAATAACAAGAAATCATATAATACATAATAAAGCATTAATTATGCAGTTTTGTATTATTAATTTAATCATTTTCGTGCAAAACTTGTAAGTTTCATGTTTCAAACATTAATAATGACTTCCAAACTTTATTAACAATAGATATATGATTGAAGTGCTATTGCTACTAATATTCTCACGTTTAAGAATTCTTTACACAAATAACACGACATGTGTAACAGTCTATTGAACTTAATATTCATCGTGTAGTAAAACAAGGTTTACATTAAATCATATTTATTTATTCCCATGATTGATCCTTTTAATTTTAAAATAAATGTATTAATTTTATAATTTATTCCAGTGTTTATGGTAATTATTATTGTTATTTAACTTTTATTTTTTTTTTCAAACTATCTCATATATTAGTCTTTTTGTATCTACGTTAAAACCACGATATATATTTTAAAAAAACTCACTTTTTCGATGGTTTTAAAAATATATTAACATTCCTAATAAATACTTTTATATTATTTTCCTTTGCCAGAAATTTAATTTAATTAAATTTTTATGTCTTAACAGTTAGCAAAAGATAATATATTAACTTGTGTATTTTTATTTATTATTATTATTATTTTTTAGAGTAATAAATTATTTTAGTTTCTGGTTATTATTGCATAAAACAATTATGTGGCATATTAAAAAGTATTATATTATATTATAATATTCACAACTTTGCCACGTGTAAAAAATAATTCAAAAAACATACTGCTTTTTTTATCAGAGTTTCAAAGGAGTTGGGAGACTTTATGATTTTGAAATAGCGAAATAGTTTGAAGTATCGTAATATAGAGTTATCATAATATTATTCTTTTTTACCTTTCGTACTTCAAGTGATTTTTTTAAAATCTTTTTAGACTGGATTACATAATAGAGAGAAAAATATTTATACCATGTTGACATTTTTCGTTAAATAACTACAAGTTCTACTACATGAAAAAAAAAGAAAAAAAGATTAAAATATTTATAGAAATAATTTAGTGAGTTAAGCATTTGTTTTGTAAATAATATTGTATTTTTAAACAATTTATTTGTATCTAAATTTAAGAATATTTAGGTTAAAATAAAACTCTTAGTATATTTTTATACAAATGTTGTTTATTTAAAATGAATAAATATACTGCTTTTTCCCTTGGTTTCTATTTTTCTATTATTTTTCTAAAACAATATTTTTGAAAATTAAATGCGAATTAGGTCACACGTACCGCTGATAAAACAGGTTTTTTAGCTAGATAACTAGTTAAGTTTATGTTGATTTAAAATGTATACTTATATATTATATAAACGAGCATATCGAGTACATGTTACATTTTTATGGAGTATAATAAATAATATAATATAATGAGTAAGACGATTATCGTAAAAAATCGGTTTTTGTATTTTGATTATTAACCGTTATAAACTTTTAAAGTTTACCTAATTTAAAAAATGTTTACATTGCAGTACTTCTCCTTAAGTCAATATGACCTATCGACCAGCAAGATTTAATACCGAGAGCAGAAACCGAAACGCAATTAAACAACCATTAATACATTCTCTTACCTTCGCATGTAGTGATACTTGATAACCACGACGATCACCACAGAATTCGCTATGGCTGCAACCAGGAACAACGGGACGTAGAGACCGATCAACAAAATACTTCTGGTTTCAGTGAATTTCATTTGCGACGACGAAAATTCGGCGATCAGCTCGTCAATTACGGCGGCCTGTTCCATTCCGGCCGAATTTTTCGTCCACAAGCTGCTGACGTTACGTGCCGTCGTGTTGTTAAACATTTCGTGTGCAGACGGTGTGCTAATGTGTCTCGTTAAATTGTTCATCCTGTAACGTCATAAACGGTTGAGAGTCTTTGTCGACGTTGATATATCATTGATCAAAAACAATATTAAGAGTATATTAATTAATAATAACAACGAATATACTATTAAAATATATTATTATTACGTTTTGTAGATAAATACATCATCCATTCAGAGTCTTATTAAAATATTTTTTAATTTTTTTTTTTTTTTTGTACGGAATATTTGCATTTATACCTCTAGACTAAAACTGGATACTTTGTAAGTTCAGTTGTTTTGAAGCGTAAAATTAAATCATACAATTTAAAATGCCATAGTTATTTTTTATGCTTTACCGTTAAATATTTTAGTAATCAACTATCGCGTTATGAGACATTTTTAATTGTTGGCAATTGGAATTGACATGGTTTTGATGAAGTATAGGTTAGGTTATCGAGATGTTTAATTTTATACAACGATTGAAATTTATGGACCATGAGATTATCATTTAATTAATTATAACTCATTATAACAATATATGTATCAGATTTTTTTAATTTTTTTTTTTTTTATCATAATTAAAAATTTTATTTAAATGCAACGTACCTAAATTTTTAATTTTATACCCAGAATATTGTTGATTAGGAATATTTTTTTAAGTTTTATATAAATAAATAAAATTTTTGACGAGTAATTATTTAGCTATAAGTATTTAAAACTTATGTTAGAAGTAGAGAAGCATAATAGTCTCTCATTTTAAATGTTATTTTCTAATAACCTTAAATTATTTCTAAAAAATATTTTCAAAAAAATTGTGGTTATAATAATAAAACGGGCTTAATTATTAATTAATAATAATAGTTCAATGAATTGGTTATTTTTGATAAACCATGTAGTGTATTTGTTGTTTTTGGCTTGTATATTAAACAATATTATTGTAAGTCCGAATGGACTTATCAAGAAGAAATATGTACCTGCTCAAGTTTATACTGTAAAATGATGTTATCTTGTACAATAAGTGAAAATTAGAGTTTAAGTTAAATATCTGTATATCAAATATTTAAAATGTTTGTATAAAAATTTTAATGGGGTGGTGTATAATCTGTCATGATCGATTGACAATTTATTGTTCGATTCACACGGAAATAATTTATTGAGTACAAAAACAACTCGATAAAATCGTGTTATAGTATGGTTATTTAAATTAAAGAAGTACGTAATACGTACAGTCGGCTAAATCGTACAAATAGGAAATATTTTGAAATTATATACATGAAGACTTCACATTTTCCATTAATCAAGTTGTATTTATTCTACATTATTTCGTTTCCACAGATAAATCAATTGATATTCAATAAGAATTATAAAATTTGTTATACAAGATTCGTATTTATTGTCTTAAATACATTTACGTCTACACGTTTAAATAAAATATACTTAATAATATTGTACATTGCAGTAATGTTCAAAGTTTTATTATAATTCTTCCGTTAGTGATAATAATATTAAAAATGTCATACCAGTGTTAAGTGCATATTGAACATAATTTTATATTATAAAATTTGTAAAAGTAGTTGAGTGAAACTCAATGATATTATTATATTATTTGTGTTATAACATTATTGTGTTGAAGTTTGTAATCAAGTGAGTTTTTTTTTATGTATATATTGTTTATATAATATTAAAATTTGAACGTAGTTGATGAAGCATTGTTGATGATTTTATGTAAGCTGTTAAACTGAAAAAAAATATTTAATCGGTCTGGTACCATTCTACCTATTCTCGTCTCAATTTACTTTACTGTCTGACAGCATTAAATCATTATTATTATTTGAAAAAATATTTGAATTATTATTATTATATTTAAAAGCAATGATTAGTCTTTGCGTCTGAAGATGATTATGAAAAGAGCTCATTTTACGAATGCATTTGACGTTATTTTTTCATACATTTTTATTTCACCTTAAGTATATTATATAAAACAGTTGAGTGTCGAGCATTTGTCGTAATACACGAAATTTCATTATGGGTTCATAAAATCATTGATTAAAGAATATTCTATAATATTCTATAATTAATAGTAATACGCAGCTTATGACTTTTGATATTTACTTAACTTCCGTACAAAGTGATAGTCAATCAAAGAGGTGCGCATGGTAGAATGGCATATACGACGCGTCGTAGTGTAGGGGTCGCGTGAAGATTTCCCCAGTGCGAGATTTTGATTAAACGAGCCGCCAGCAATTCGTTTAGTTAACAAAATAATTTCTCAACATTTACAATGACATAAATTTGTGCGAAAAAAACAATCTATACGAATTGGTTTAATTAAAGCGTAGGTGCCTATAAACACACAAAAATATTAAATTTCCGGCTGCTAATAATTTACGTTTCTAAACTAACTATTAAACGTTGTCATCATGGAGTTTTGTGTATTTCTTTAGAGATTATAAGATTTCCGAAAAAAATTCGAAATTTTACCGAAAAATTAGTAAAATTTACTGAGAAAAGTAAATGTTTTTTGTAATGTTTATCATTTATTCATAAATAAATATTCAAAATTTAAAAATAAATACACACAAATATATAATCAATATATTTTAAGAACTAACATCCTTATTGATAATATCGTTAGATACGGCATCTGTCTAGAAACAGTAAATTAGTATACTACATTTTCTGTTTTCGACTTTATTGGATTTTTTTTCCCAAATGTTGTACCTATTTCTTTTTTATGCTGAAAACCCAGGTGACCAGGTGGTACAATCAGAATTCAATGTTCTGCATTAGTTTTGGAACTGTAGACATTTTATGTTATCTCATAAATATAAGTCATGTTAAAGCTTAATTTAATACTAAAAATTGTTTTGATTTAAAATAAAATAAAATGTTCTTCGTTTATTTTTTGTGATGGTGATTTTTTTTCATAGATTTTTTAAATTATTTTGAGTGTAAATATTTTTTTTCTTAAGTGTCCCATTTTTTCTAAAATGTAATAAAGGTGTTAAAATGTCTTTGATTATTCACAGTTCTTAGGATTCTGACTTTCTTTTTTTAATTTTTCAGCATTTTGATTCTTGTGTCTGTTAAAATTATTTTATATCACAATATTTAAACTTTCTTCTTTATAGAGTACATTTTACGAGGAGAAAAACGATTGTAATGTTTAAACAAGATTATATGTTAAAAATTGACCTCATGTTTGTTCTGATTTTTTATAAAATCAGAATCGTTACTAAAAAGTATATTATTTTGTACCTTATTTATTAGTATTTGGGTTAATGAAAAATTCTGTTGAAAGATTAACTCAAAATAATCGCATAATTTAAAGACCCAGTCTTAGCCACATTTCGAAGAACACCTTTTTTTGAAAATATAGTTCACAATCTGTAAATATTTTTTTACAATAGGTAAAATATTATAATAATTTTGTTTTATTTATACCTTGAAAATTTTTTATTGGATAGATAACTAATACATTTTTTAATGTAAATAATTTTTATGCATTATATAAATATAAGAATTGAACTATTATAACAATAGGGTGTAGCTATTGTAAAGGTATCTTTTCTATATTATGTTGAAATATTTTAAAATTATAATATATTTTGATGAAATACCTCCACTGGGAGATCTTTTCACTCTGTGTTTCATGTACGTACTATTGATGGCCAAATGTGAACTCCTACACGAATAAACTTTTTACCTGAATCATCATTAAATGTAACCTCCTCACTAATAACCTTTTTACATTTTTACCTGAAAAAAATAGGGTAATATTATTTTAATTCACGATTTTGGAATTGAAAAGCTCAAAAAGTTAAAAATGATTTTAACTTGAAAATAATAAATATAATATATATAAAATATAAAAACTTGAATAGAGTATGTTTATACGATGTATTATGATCCTTAAAGGTTGCGGTAATATTCACATTATTATACTATATTATACGTTCATATCGGAATTTGCTGTACAAAAAGTTAAAAGATCAGCGATAGTAATAATTAGAATGGTATGAACGCAATGCAGACAAACAAAAAAAATTTAAAAATATAAGTTTATACTTGCACAAAAAAGGAAATATATACGAAGAAAAATTTCACGTTTAGAGTTTATTTCCATAGTATACCACAAAAATAAACGTAAATAATTGAGTTATGACTATATTGTTTTATTAAATTTTTATTTTTCGAAAAATATTTGTTTCAAGTTTATACTTTTGTATAATATTATATATTAATATATTGCAAGACATATATTTTTACAGTGGTACGAGTAATATTCTTTTTTATTATATTTTGTAGGAGTTAACATTACATTTGTAGGAGCTTACCATTCCCCCTGTTGATATACTTACTGAAATTATTATAAATTAAACTTATCGTTTTACTATTGTAACAGATTGCCCAATAAAAAAAAAAAAAAAAAAAAAAAAAATACGATGAAAAATAATAATAATTATTTGTCTTAAAACTGAAACTGATTTCTATACTATAATTGTTGTAATTTCTATATCTAATAGTTGTCATTCTTGTAAAAAAAATCAATAGTTTTATCTTTTATCGAATATTTAAACTTACAAAAAATATTCAGTGTACATAAACAATTTTAAATTTAAATAGCTCACTTATATGTTTTTCAATAATAAAGACATTATACAATTAATAATTATTTTAAAGTTGTTTTTAAGATATTACGTAATATCATCAATATTTATAATTTTAAATTATTATAAACAGTCATACTGTTGATATATGATATGTGTTTGAGTTTTTAGTTTCAAAAGTTATTATTGTTAATCATTATAAAAACAATTGTAACGCATTATTTTTTTTTTTTTTTTATTTCAACGACAACCACAAACTTGAACTTATGATCTGCAACTTATTACAATAAAAATCATTTGCTAAATTGGCAAAACAGGTATAAAAAGTGCAGAGTTTACACGCGCCTCCGGTGTTATAAAAACCATCGCAATTACTGACGAGTGAAGAAATCTCATTTTAAATTTGACTTTTCCATTTCACTTTCCATAAACT